ATAAACTTCCTCTTCCAGGAAATTCTTAGGCAATGTCACTTTAACAATTTAACAATTCCTAGGATTCTTTGGAAGGAGTGGAACAAGCATATAAAGAAATATGGAAAAAAACCACCCTTCCTCTCTTGCTTCCCTGTGGCAAATTTTAGACTGTAAGCTCCTTGGTGCAGAGACCTGTCCCCTTGCATTCTGTAAAGTGTCATTCAAACTAACAGTATAATGTTAATGATGGTGAAAATCTTCCCTAGATAGGGCCTAAAAATTCTGGAGTTTAATGTGAGAAGTTTAGTTCAAATTCTTATACTGTTGTTAAAGTGGTCATAGAAGAACCAGCCCAATTTACCTGATAGTAGTATTGAAAAACTGAATTGCTACTCTAAGTTCTAGCAGCAAGGGAGATGATGATGACCATTATTTTTAGTTGATTTACTGAGGGAGGGAGGAATTGGCAAAGAGCCCCCCCCCCCCCACACACACACACACTCCACCAGCAGCTTTCTAAGCAGAATTTCACTCTGGGGTTCTCCGGGGTTCTCCTGTTAGAACTATAAATGCTGGATGCATTCTTAGGATTATAAAGTAGGGAATGAAAGATTAGGGACTTTACAATATGGTTGCACTGCATGTGTGGATGAGCACAACTTCTGCATCTCACCAGTTGGTGACCATTTTACGACAATGTTTTAAGCAAGGGAAAATATTAAGTCCATTATTTAGTTATGTGTTTTAGTTGTATCCTGCTGTTTCTTTAGGAAACACAGAATGGTGTTTTAGTCTCATACTAACTTTTGGAAATGGATTAGGCTGAGAAACTGTAGCTTGCTCAAGGCTTCGAAGTGCCATTTCCTGAACCCAGCCACAGCCACTTAGTATCACTTAACAGATAAAAAATGAAATTCCCACATTCTTGCATGAGGGAATATTATGGGATATACTGTCCGTATGTACATAGATGCAAAGCATCTCCACTTTCAGAGAGTCCCCAACCCTTCCTGCATAGGGGATAGCAGAGGGCAGAAGGAATTGATAAAGATTGCATCCTGCCTTTCCACCAGCAGGTTCAAAAGTTTCCCGTGGACAGAAGAGGCCCTTCCACACACAGAATACTTAGGCTGGATCCAACCCCTTGTTGCAAGTTAAACACAAAACATAGTTTGCTGGAGGGTGGGGGTTAATAATTATTTTGTATTTATAGGGGTGTATCCAGGATCTGCCTTCCACATAGTCCCCTCCACCCAATCTTTGGGGATCTTCTCTTCTAACCTACTCACTTCCCATTCAGCAGGATCCCCTAACTTTTTGTGTAGCATTTTCAGGGTAAAAATTCAGTGTTGTCATGGAAAGGAATGGATGTGGAAGTTCACTTCCCTCTGTGTAGCTGATTCAGTGTAAATCAAGTTCCAGTGGCTTTAAAAATGCTTGAAAGTTCTCCAAAACTTTTTTCACTGGTGAGATGCTTAACCCTACTCTGATGGGTAAAATGTTGAAATATAGAGATTCCCACCTATCAGGAACCATCTCCTAGCTCACTCACTGACAAAAGATTAATGGACTATTCTGGACTATTAATGAGCAATCATAATTTAAATGCATTGCTCTGTGAATGAGGATCATAATTCTTATGAGCACTGTCCATCATCATTCATACTAGCTCAACGGCATTTGAGTAATGGCCGAATCTTTAGCACTCGTATTCATCTAACTTCCCTTCAATTGATAGCTGTAACATGTCTGTCATCATCATCAAACAAAGAGTAACCCAGGAAACCAGTGTGTGCTCTGATGTGTTTGCATTCTCGAAAGTATATAAGCGAACAAACCTCCAGCAACCTTAATGATCTTCATTTTTTCAAAATGCTTGCTTGTTAAACTATGGAACACAATACGTGTGTGCACATAAGGGAATGTTTCCCATGTGTTGCATACTGGGGACACGCCTGTCTAGTATTTTTAAGTGATATGCAGAGTTTTCTATGATATCTGTGGATGTTCCACATAAAATGTAAACCTTAATCTCCCTGAGGTTCCCCTTTCCAACAGGTAGCATTTCCTTTAATGAAATGCAAATACCTGTCAACCAGCAAACCCTTCCATCCCTGTGCTTATGAATTGTTCTTTATTTTCTCTTGTATAAAGGCTCTCCCACTCTGCTCCTTTTACTGAACCTGTAGAGCTGCCGAAGGGGAGGTGCATAAGGCTTCCATTGTTTCCAAGTTTGGAGGAACACAATGCCCCTTCTTTAGATAAAAGTCTTGCCTTTCTCTTCATCAAAGTAACATTTATCTTCCCTGGAATTTTTTCCTCTTTTCTCTTGCAATCAATATAGTCATCAATCAGTATATAGCATGAACAACTGCAAGCATTTGTTTACCTCTGAATAGTATCCTTGCCTTGAGGGTTTTTTTTAACAGACACCTCCAATGACTGACCATGATGTACCATTACAAATAATAATATAATAATAATAATAACAACAATAATGGCATAACACACACACCTGTGTATCACTTTTAAGAATGCTGAATAACTTTCTGAAAGTAATTTATATTTTAAAAGATTGAATATATTTAGGAAAACTTAATAGGAATGGTAAGTAGGATGCTACAGTTGGAGTGAGCACACATGTACCCCCCCCCCCACGCACACACGGATGCACGCGTGGACATTTGGTCTCCTTGTACTATCAGGAGGCTTTTAATCCAGCAGAATGGGGGAGGTGATGATCTTCCCCCTCCAGTCCTGAATGTCCCCCTAAGATCTCCCCAAAGAGTTGTGGGATCCTCTGGAACAATGAAGGTGGTAGCACTGGAGAATGCAGATGGAAAGGAAGCATTTAAACATATGGTCCACCAGCTCCAGCCTGATGTCATGCAGCCCAGCAAGAGCTGCTCCATGTCATTTTTCTGTGATATAATTTGTCTCCATGGTATAGTGCATTTATTTTGTCTTTAGAGTTTTTTCCTTATCATAGCAGACAAAGCAGCTACTATATTCCAGCAGGTGCAGCTTTAAGAGGAGTCAGTTTTTAAATTATGAGCAGCAGCTTTTTACATTCACATACCCTTAACTCATTAACTAATTGGATACAGAAGGCCATTATGACTAGGACTCAGTCTTTAATCATCAGCATTGTAAGCTGTGAAATTACTCTTCTACTGTAGGCTGTGTTAACATTGTATGTGGCTGTTTACAAGTCCGTGACCTTTCTACTTATGCATGGCAGGTGGGGTAACAAGGAATGTAATATCTCAAGAATGTCTTTCTATGTCTACCTGTGTCCAAAACCTGATGCTTCTGATTTCTTCAGGGCTTGGTGTGTGTTTTTATGTGTGATGGAAGGATTTAATTTTCACTCTTGATCAGATCTCTCTCTTTTAACTTCAGAGACAGCAAAGTTGGATCAACACAAAACAACTTGCAATTGTTCTTAATACAATGCAAATAATTACAAGAGAACTAGCCAGTGATACTCTGCTACCCTGCCCAATTCTTCAAACTAGTGTTTCTTGCTTGTTCCCAGTTGCTCTAGCCATGGATCTTGCTGGCACATAAGCAGCTGTCCTTTCATGCAATCCTCTATACATTTACTCAAAAGTAAGTCCCAAGTGAATGTGTATATGTGAATGTGTATGCCCTGTAGCAAAATCCTACAATAGCAATAGAACAATGTCATATCAGGTACAAAGTAATGCGCGCTCTCCTATTTGAAGAGAAAGGGGCAATAGCTTTGCAGCCACTGCCAATATGAATTTCAGTGACCATACTTCTGTACATAAACAATTTGGTAGTGTTCATCACAGTCAAGTCCATTAAAAACCCCTTAGCAGGTTTGGGATGCTGTGCATTTGCTTACCGCTGCGGGTCTCTACAAACTCCATGGAAATTGGTATGGGTGATTTGGAAGCAAAGCCAATTTTGATCATAAACCAATAGTTCAGCAAAGGGGAAATTTGAAAAAGGCTAAACAAAAAAGGGGATGGGTAATCAGAAAATAGCCCAGACTTTCCGTTAAAAAAAACTTAGCTGCACTGCATTCAGACTAATGCATCCTCCATCCTTCCTCAAGCCTGTTTACTCAGCTGGATGTCCAGAGGGTCCAATTTTCCTTCCAATTGCCCTTGCACGCTAATGTAATTGCTGCTCATATGGGTAATTGGTCAGCCTACAGCAGTGTTAGCATGCATTTGCTCATCTGTACTACCTGGCAGCTTCTCAAAATTAAGTTTCAACCTCCAAATACTGTTGAATACATTAAAAGAAGGACAAGCTCACAAAGAATATTTGCAAATGCTATGCTAAGAAAACAGACAAATGTGGATAGGAAACATCTTCACAGAGGAAGATTTGATCCAAGCTTTTTAATTTAACAAGTAAGTACATGCACTTCTGGAGGCAAATTTTCACAAATGGATTATCCTCTATGTAGGAACACATCAGCCAGGTTTGGACAACATGCAGTAGCTCAACCCACAACAAACTGCCATCTTGAATCTGCAATTCCCACTCAACTTTTGTCAGATTGTGCAATAGTTGTCATATTGTGCAATTACCACACAATGGTTGTCATATTGTGCAAACCTGTCAAATTTGCCAAATCTTACAACCATGGTTCTTTTGAAGGTTGCTTAAGTGTTAAACAACCCTGCCAACCAGGTTCATACAACATAGCAACCACTGCAACCCTCCTTTGGGGGTTTAATGGTCAAAATGTCCACCAGCATGCCTGCTGCAGTGATCATACAAACTGGCCCAATATTTATGTACAATGTTTAACTTCTGTGAAGAAGCCACTGCATCTAATGAAACTAGGGTAACAAATACCAGGGTGGTCATGTCAACAGAAGATTGATAAAAATGTGTTTGGTTCTATTTTTTTTTTTTTTAAGTATGAAGTACTTAGTTACATATTTGTTCCAGATGTGACTCTTCTAGTAATACAGTATTAAAGTTTAACATTTCTTGAAAATATTCCTAAATTAGAATTAAATACTCCAAAATGGTATAATTTTAGCATTTTATATAGTATATTGAATTTTACAGAAAAATTCACACACAATTGTTTATTTAAAAATAAGATTTCCAAAAATACAGTACAGAATACCTTTCAATAGAAGTAAACAAGATCACTAAAGCTGAACAATTTAATAAGGAAAATCAGAGATTCTACATGAATAAAGTCACCAACAGAAATACAAAAATATTCTTTATAAAGCAGACACATATATTACTTTGGGATCTTACTACTTCAGTAATAGCACAGTAAGGTTTTCCTATTTTGGTACTGTCCAAATATATACATCTCTCAATCATATCTCTCATCATCCTCCAATCATCTTTTATTAAATACAATACATTTGTTAAATACTAGACATCTTCACAATGCCAAATGTAAACAATTTTAAAGTATTACTTAGATCCAACCTAGTTACAAGAAGTGAAAAATAAGCAGATTAGGTATGATGTAAAATGTTAGATTTTATATACTACAGAATATACTTTATTATGGCACTTAGGCTGACTATTGTACAGAAGAGAGATTTCATAAGACTTTAAATATAACAGAGAAGAAAGCAATTTCAAGTATATTAAGAGTGTACTGTGTATTACCCCACCATCCTGTAAACATGCAGCAAGCACAATACCTGAATACCTTGAGAATAATGTATTCACATTACATCCTGATGATGCTTCTATGGTTATATACATATTACTCTATAGAAGGCAATGGGATTGTGCTAGGCATACAGGGAAGTGATTTGGGCCCCGTTGATTTTAATTGCAGGTAAATCCATTCCTAGGGTCCTTCCAGGCAGTTTCCCCTCTATGTCCTGTGTTTCAACTGAAAGGAATTATTGCTCCATAGAAATTCTGTAGGAAGTTGCTCCAATGTGTAATAGCTTATCAGAGTTAACTGACCAACTATGATAAAGTAATCAAGTGGTCATTTAGTTTTCCCTGACAGCAGGCTTGCAAAGATCATAGCCAGACATACCATCTGAAACATGCCCTAGGTCACACATTACCTTTCTGAGGTATGCAATACAGCAGTGATTGAGAAATAAAGATGCAACTGTTGCCATGTGTTCATCATATTCATGCTACAGGGAAGTAGATGGAAGCTTCTTCTGTAAAACCATTTTCTTTCTATTTCCTGAGAGCAGTTAGAATTGAATATATAACTACACCCATAAACCAGACTTAACCTTTTACATTGAGATCTTTTTAAGCTTTATGCCTTATTTATAGTTCAGAAGCAAATGCAGATAGCCTTACGTTTAGTAACTATGACATTTAAAGAGTTGCTGCTCAGGAAATCCTAGCTTTTCCAGTTAAGATTTAGGTTTATCAGACTATAGAACACAAGCTCTTGGCCCTATTGTTATAGGTTATGAGCAACCTGAGGCTGAATCAGAGACTAACAGGAAGGACAATGTAAGGTTACTGAAACCAAACATCCAGGTATAACCCTAAACATACTTACACACACACAAAGACACACACTTCCATTTACCCTGTACAGGAGAACTGCAGCAGTGCTTATTTTTCATTTTAAAAGATCACACAAAGATTGTTTGATAAATATACAATATTTGCAGGAACATATAAAATATGACTTTACCTGTATTCAAACACACACTACCAACCTGAAATTGGTTTTGCACCCAGCAAGAACTAACCTCATTAAATCTGCCCAAGTCCTCCATTCCATCCTGTTACAAAATGGGAATATTGAGGCTTTCCTATCATGACCAAACTTACTTAAAAGCTAGAGCCCAACACTAAGGTCAATGAGATTTATGCCAAACATGTCTGCATATTATTGCTACTCTAATGAGATGAAGTGGAGACTTAAACCATTTACTTGTTCAAAGTAACTTGCCTGTGAGCCCAAAAGATACAGTAGCATGTAAGAGAATGGCCCGATTTCCATGGGTTTGAATGAAGCTGGACTTCACTTAGAGTGTTTAGTCAGATTCCATAAAAACTGTTCTCTTAGAGGTACCTTTTATTATTCCTAGTGTAGATTATGAAGTTATATGTGTCTAACTAGCTAGCATCTTCTCTCAACAGAATGGTATTTATTGACATAATGGATTCTCTTTCCCTCTGTTGTCCCCTGAAATCTGTTCTGGAGGACTGGGAAAATTCTCCAGCACAGATATGGGAAGGGCTATGGAATGAGCAGAGGAACAGAAAGTTCCATTACACATACGGAAATCCATTTGAGCAACACTGGATGTCATATTGAACTATTTTCAGCCTAAACTACAACACAGACACATCAAAATGCATACAGTAGTTTGATCTACAGAACACAGCTATTACACACACATTAATAGCATATTGATCCTAAACTTTCTGCATCTCATCTATGACTAAAATCTTAGGTACTAAAGTAAAATGTTCAAAGTTAGTTTCACTCTTAAATGTTATATTTAATCAGAATATTGAATCAATTTAAATCAGTGGAAGTAAAACACAATATTAATGTTGCATTTTTCATTACTGAATTTTTTCTAATTTCAAAGCCCAATATTTCATTTTTCAGTCGTGATATGCTTTCACTGTGAACAATTTTCATTTCACATGCTTTGTATGTGCCTCTGAATTCACAGAATTGTTAACTCCCAGCAACCAAGATTAATATTGTTAATCTCATTTATTACATTTATGTTGCAGCAGCTTTCTAAGATATGTTTTTGTATATTGCAGAAGAAACAAAATATTCCTAGCAAATGCTAATCAATTTGCTTCATTCTGTCACACTTAAAAATGTATTCTGTCCAATGCATTATCAATTTTCATCTATTTCTACATCATATTACATCCCAGTCAAGCTATGCTGCAAGCTGAATGAACTGAAAGGTAATTTTTAAACAAGTGCATAACTTGTCATATCAGGTGAATTGCCTTGAGATGTTTGCCTTGTTTGTCTCTATGAGGTAGGTAACCATTATTCCTAAGACTATAATTCTATGCCTGGGAGTAACTCTAACTGCACACAATGGGATTCACCATGGACTCCATGGGTTTCCCTAGCAATACGAAAGGCAGGAGTGGTGCCTCAAGAACTGAAACCAGTTATCACTTAAATGTCCAAACAATGATCTGGAGCACTAAAGGTGGAAATTGCTGAAAGAGAGCCCTAGCAGAGACCCCAGCGCCAGAATGCTGGGTGCTCATACTGGCTGTGGGGGGCTTACTTACAAATAGTCAATAAAACCATCACCAATGTTTGGATTAGAATTATCTTCTAAACTCACAATAATAGAAAGGTTTAGCTATCTAATAGGACTAAGGCATCTAATTAACTTAGGACAAGGAAGAGAAGACGGCTCCTGTGCTAACCAAGGGAGGCCATGCAAAGTTGCACTAGCTACATTCTACACTAAAAGAGGATATAGGTGGTTCTGAGAACAGTGGACCTAATCTGGCTCTGCTGACCTTTCCTAGGCATTGTATTATGCATCCGTGGCAGTGGTACAAACATGGATTAGTTCAGGAGTTTTAAAAAATATGCTCTGAGATCCAACCAGGTTTACAATATATAGAATAGAAATATATTTAACATATGACAAATCCAGTTTTATAAAGGCTGTGCATGCTGTAATATAAAGCTCCAAAGCTGATAAAAACAAACTGTTTTCTTTGGTACAGGCAAGTGTTGAATTATTCTTCATTTTACTAGTGAGATGCCATGAAATGGTGGAATGTATATAGAAACACGGCCATAAAGAAAGACTGTACCTGAGTTAGTTGTCTGTTATGGCATTAGACTCCCCATCAGTAAGCCTGGAGCATAAACATATTTCAAGACTACAATGCCATTTCTAATTACAAATATGTCCTGATGTATCTGTTATTAATTATAATAGTTTTCCTTTACTGCCACAAAAGGTTAAGAAACCTGGCCATGTCTGCATGAATGTTAACTCTATTTTGCCTCTGTATCAATCTCTTCATTTGGCATTTATAAATCTGATCATAGTTCATTGTGCATTATTTCCCACTAAAATGTCTGAAAATAAAAAGAGAGGATCTGTTCACAATTTCTCACCTGGACAGGGGGATATTAAAACAGGATTACAATGAGATTGTTCAGCCCGTGTAGAGGCACTATGTTCACTCAATCACTTTGAAGTCCAGGAAGAAGCTGCTACAGCACTCTTGATTCAATGTACATGTGCAAGACACATAATCAGTCAGTGTAGTGGTTAGGAGTGCTGCACTGGGATTCGCAAGATCTGGGTTCTAGTCCCCACTCAGCCATTTAATTCACTAGGTTGCCTTGGACCAGTCCCAGACTCTCAGTCTAATCTATCTCAAAGAGTTATTGCTATGAGGGTAAAATAAAGAGGAGGAGAACCTTGTAGGGAGTGTTGGATTCCTTACAAGAGAAAGAAAAGCAAGGTAATTGCCATTATTATATTGCATGTATATCTTGCCTTTTTTCCTCTTGTGAAGAACCCAAGGCAGCTTATAGAAACTCTATTTTATTCTGACAACAAAAACCTGTGATGTAAGTTAGGCTGAGAGTGAATGACTGGCCCAAGGTGACCCAGTGAGCTTCATGACCAAGTGCAAGCTGGAACCTAAATCTCCCTGGTCTCCAGTACAACACTCTAACTACCATACCACACTGGACCAAAGTTTTTCCTCACTCCAGGCTTCCCAGAATGCACAGGGAGATCTCCAGACCTCTCAATCCATGTGGGAAGATGCAGTGCTTAACTTCTATTGTGTGAGGTTTGTAGGCTGCATGCTGGGGGTGACAGAAAGACCCTCAGAAATCCCAGCAAATAGTGGAGCACAACAGGGTCATTATCTACTTGGACTGCTGGTCATCACAAGGCAGCAGTCAGTAACTGTGCCAGGCTGCCCCATGTTTCTCCAGCCATGGGTAGTGTCCCATGATCAGTAGTAGAAATACACCCTGCCCAGCGTGCAGAGGGCAGGATCATCCAGGATGTTTCTAATGGGCAATAATGAATTAAGATCAATTTTTATATAACATAGATTTGGATGTACATAGATAAATATGTACCAAGGGGTCAAACTAGATGGTCCAGGAGGCCCCTTCTGACTTCCTCTGTTTCTATGTTTCTCAATACTGCCAATTCTATAGTATGTATGAGACCATTGCTCTAGTCCACCTAGGGAACAGAAGAGTTAAAACTAAAGAAACTCATCATCATGAAAACAGCAGTGCTGGTAATTATCTGAAAGGTACTATGATGGAATGCTAAATTAAGACATTAAAATGGCCTTTAATTAATAAAGTAATTCTACCTTGAATATATATCAATTATTTAAGTGACAAAAACTAGACATTCCCAAAACCACCTCTTAGAATGTGTAATCCTTAGCGCTTTATGAACATTATGCACTTTTAAACTACCTCAGTTCAGCCATCTAAAAATTAAGGGATTATAAACAAATAGCACAGATGCAAAATAGGGTAAAACTTTAAGCAGCTGTCCTAGTTATATTAAACATATTTAGTTCCAACTAATCTCTCAATTTATTATCCTAATGTTATCTTTCAGATCTATCAGGAAAGGAATTTCCTAGGATTTAAATCTGGGTTTAGTCATTATGAGGAGAACCAACAGGGCTATTAATATTAAAAGGAGGTAATATGAACACGGCCTCCCTACTTCATTTTAACTGACATCATCACTGTATTTTAATATGGAATTAAAATAGAAACTGTATAATTAAAAGTACAGGAATTGTTAAAGGTATAAAAATACCTGTGACCTGGGTTCCGAAGAGTAAATACTATCCAGAAATGACACACCTTCTGAGAACTGACAAAAGATTGACTGATTAGAGCAGGGCTAGGCAACATCTTATGCATTCTTTTGAAAGTCTGAGAAGTCACCCTGGACACAACCATAAAATGGCTGCCATAGGTGGACAAACAACCTTCCCACAGACATGAAAGCAAAACAAGATAGCAGCAGCTAGAGGCTTTGAATCCCAGTTGCCAGTAATAAAACATAAAAATGTTTTTAAGATAAAATTTGGGAATATGGGTAAGTACCAAGAAAAGTTTCTGAGCTCTATGTTCTCTACCTCTGTATCATAGTATAATATAATTGGCATTTGTCCTATGCATGTAGGCCTCTAGTGCTTCAGTGTCAAGGCTGAGTACTGATGTTACAGCAAGCACACACATCCATATTCATCTTGCTGTTCCTAATAGGAACATTGGCAAATCAGGGGTACAGTGTCCAAATGTTAGTGTTTCTTTCCTTCTAGTCATTCAGGGACATCTCATCTAAGCATGTTTTTTGGCTCAAATATACTCTTCTGTGAAAAGATAGACATGCTGATACTTTACTTATGGCTTTCTTAATTTAGAATGGCAGTGGAATGCCATTCAGTGGAATGCCAATGCCATTACACAAGTCAGCCAAGAGAGGGCACTTTGAGAACAAGAGAAGGACTGATCTCTCAAGCTCATGGTTCATGTGGTGACTTCTAGAACTGAACTGGTTTTAGGAATGTATAAAAAATGACCTTAAATGAATGCTTTGCAAAAGACATGTTTCATAACATTTGCTCACCCTAACTTAAGCAATAGCCAATTAAAGAGAAAGTAGTAACAAATTGAACAAAAGCTCAATACTTTTAAGTGTTAGTTCTCAAATTGATTTTTTTAAATAAATGGGTATTAGTATACAGAACAATTGTTCTGTTTAGTATCAAAATTTATTATTATTACATTTCTAAATGTTAAGTTAGAGGATCCAGTTCACAAACAATCCTAGTGAAAAGGATCACTAGTTATATCCCTTACAAAGAAAACATATACACTAATTGAGCCTAAAATTTCCAAGGGTTTTGTGACTTTTGGAAGATTAGCATTCTTAATTCTTTTTTAAATAAAACTGTATGGAGTAAGTCTAAATATATTTCAGCTTTCCTAAAACCTGATTTAAACACAACCAAGCACACAACTCAAATTAAGACATGAGTGATTAAACCAAACCATGAAGTAATTGCTGGGTCATCTTCATTACAATGCTGATGCCATCAAAATTACCAGGAAAAACAATGTTCAGCAAAGGGTGGAAACTTGTACAGAGCAAGTCTTTAAAAAGCCCTAAGCACTGTTACATTTGAGCTCTACCAGAATGTTCTTACTGTCTGGAAACTATTTGCTAATAACAATCTGATGTTAACCATCTCTTAGACACACTGCAGAACAGTACACCTGGTTCTGCTTTTGTATGGCAGGACAGAAGGATGAGCTAGTTACTATCTAACATCAGTCATAGGTGCTTATTCCATGTACCATCTTACCTTTATGCAATTTTTATGTGCCGCATCACATGGCCTGCAAATTGCTGGAGTGCAAATGCTGCAATCTTTCACATGCAAAATTATGTGAAGCACTACTCAGACAATTTGTCTGTGGAAGCATCTTATTTAAATTGGACCTAAAGGAAGGTCTAGACCATGGTTCACAGGTCTCAACTGAGAGGTATCATTTATCAATACCTGCCCCTGTAACGACTGGCTTCACTGTTGGATATGGCTGGACGCATAGATCTGGTAGGCACAAAGGAAGCTGTGCAAGGCCACAGGCTGAAGGGACTCAGGTTGACAATACCATGGGGTGAGGTGGGGAGTTATTGCAAGGCAAGGTCAGAGAAAAAGCGGTAGCACAACATAGCTACTTCTGTGCCAATACTGAAACTAGGATTTCCTTGCACTGGCATCGTGTCATCACCCCTTGAATCTGTGAACTGTACTCCTCACAAAGAACTTGGTCACAACATGTTGCTTATGTCCAGTGAATAAGCCTTTTGAACAGCAGACTTTAAACACTATCTTGTAAAATTTAGAAGATTTCATACTGACCAGTATCTGACACAAATCGTAAACCACAGCACAGATCCAAGATGCAGACCACCATTTTGAACAGCTCTAATCTTGTTATATGGGCATATGCTGCTTCATTTCACCTTTTATATCCACTGGACATACTGAATTAGAACATTATATGCAGTAGCTAATGTTTAACATCCATATTTACTATATAAATATCATTTTAAAAATATGCCCAACATATATTACCCAATCTATAAACATCTGAAATTTAAATTCTAAATATTACTAGCAGTGGCTATACAAAACAAATATAATTGTGGGAACAACACAGTATATGTTTATACCACATATTATGATTTGTAAAAACTACAGGCACAATCAAATACAGGCCAAAAATTAAGCAGTTAACACAATCCTGTGCATTTTACTCATAATTAAGTTCAACAAGACCTACTCCCAGTGTGTATAAGAGTACAACCAGGGTCCAGGAAAGTTTAAGCCAGAATAAATTAGCTTTTAAGGTGCTACAAGGCTCTGTCGTTTTGGCTACAACAGTCTAAAATGGCTACTCTTCTGGAACTGGTTGAACATGTACTTTACTCTTCCAGTGAAACCAACAGAACTTAAAAGGAGCTCAATAAAGGCTACATGGTGACATCCCAGTATGCATTTCTAATACACATCTACCACACAGGGCTATTCATTGCATTTACAAACTGAGAAAGGAAAACATTTTTTTTCCAATTTACAGTAACATTAGGTTGGGCTTTTCTTTTTACACTAGAATACTAAAAACACATCTGTATAAAACTAGGGACTTGAGACACACAACTGACCTTCCTTTAAAAACACTATTAACATGCCATCCTTTCCAGAGACAAACATGTACATCATGTATCATAAATAAAAGGCATTGAGGATGCTAAACCAGATTAGCAGGAAAGGAATTTCATCCAGGAAGTATTAATAAAAAAGAATTAAAAAATCAAGGCAGACAAGACACATTTCAAACTTATTGATCTGTGTAGATAACAGAGTTTCTATCAAAACGTATCAGTGTATTATCCAATATCAAAACAAAAATGTTGTACCATTTGTAGAGCAAACACTGTGTTTGTTATTAAGCTCAAATACTATAGTAATTCCTCTGGAAAGCTAATTTGAAAGTAAGTACACTTTAAAAGCAAACAGAGAAATGTACATTAATCCCAAAACGGAATCAAGATCATTATTATTAAAATAAAGCCTGGGGCACATTGTGATGTCTAAGATTGGTGGGTAGATTTTAATTGACTTGAAGACTGTCATAGTTCTATTATCACAAAACCTGCAATGCACTTCCAGCATGGAGGACCCATCTGTGCCCACCATCCATCTGTTTAGACATGATTGGCAAAGTGGTAGGGAACTCGCAGTGGTCGCCTTTGCCTGAAAGGAATAAACCACAGGATCTTCCAGCGAGTGCCAAAAACTTCTGAGAAGGTCTGCTGCCATGGCTTTCGGGGTCTCGATCTACAGACGACAGCATTATTAGTGAAAGACAGCACTCCCATGGTGCACTTCAGTCAACTAGAACAATACAGATTGGCTGGGGATCCATTACTTGACTCTGATGAATTGCATCCCAGCCACCACAAGCACAGCTTTTCTTTCACTACAGCATGCAGCTGAGACTGAACTATAAGAAACACAAACTGTATCTGTATCAACCAAAGGCGATCTTAAAGCAAAGATGATCCTCATGGCCAACAAAGTGTTTGCTAACAAAAACTCTTTTTTTCCTGCTTTCAAAGCATAGTTCTGCGGGTTTTAGATAAGAAAGAATATTCTGAAATTGCTTTTCATTAAAAAGCCCTCCAAAATAAGACATGCAAAGCTTTCGTTGACAACTTTTGACTCAAAGAAAACCTTTAGCAACCCCCACACAAAAATACTTACATTTCTTCACAGCAGTTTGCCAGTTTTTCTATACTTGTCGTGTCCTGTTATGGAGAAAATGAATTTTTAAAATAATCAGTCCTATGATGAAGATACAAAGTAAGTTTCCTCTAGAAGTATACACTATTGATAATATACATACAATGTATAGAACCAGAGATGTAATATGGAGATTTTTCAAAAACAGAAACTTATCTGGAAATGTTTGCAGTGCTTTATTTTTCTGTGGAAAACTGTACATTTTATGAATTTGTAGCAGTAAATATCCCAATTGCAAACAGAATATCATGCAAGTTAAGCAGCTTCAAAGTTGTAATTAATGCTTTTCAGACTGTTGTTGTTATAAATGTTGTAGTGATATTAGTAAGTAGTAATAAGTAGTGATAGCAAAAGTGAAATTGCCACAAGCACCTCAGTGGAGTGAGTTGAATAATGGGTAGATGATTGGTTGTCAGTGTAATTAGTTTTTTAGGCTGAGAAAAGTAATTAATGTTCCAACAGTTTTCAATACCCATTTCCCCTCTAAATTTAAACAACATAAAGGAAGTCTTTAAGAGAATATAGTCTTAAAATATGTGTAAGTGTTCCAATAATTTCTATATAACAATTAAGACTGCAATCCTATGCATACTTCCCTTGAAGTAAGCACAGTGGGGCTTACTTCCGACTATACATACATAGGATTTATCTGTAAAAAAACATTAACAGCACAATCCGACACAAGTCTACTAAGAAGTCCCATTGCATGCCAGGTAAGTTGATACAGGATTCCACCCAAGCATGCTTTAATTTTTTCCTTAAATACCTGTGGTGTAATGGGCATTAAATAACACAGGGTGCTTCCTTGTTTACTAAATACAAGTAAAACAAGCATGCTAATTTAGGGCACTCTCTAGAGAAGTTGAAATTTTTCTGACATAAATGACCTTGTGCAAATTAGTTGAATTTTCTCATGGGTTTTCCCTGGAATAAATTCCAATTCGACATTTCAGGAAACCCCACCACACTGCATGCAATGGGGAAAAAATCTAATTGTGTTACAGATATTCAGTAAATATATCCTGTACTAAAGAACCTGTTTTAATACACACATTTCCTAGAACAAAATCTACCATCTACCTTGACATTTTTTGCAGTAGCCTGCTACTCAGTGAAAATAAATTGCTTTTCCATTCACTGGGGGGGGGGGTGTTATTTATTGTATAATTTAGTATTTATTTATTTTATTATTTCTGTATTTATTTATGTGTTGTGAGCCGCCCCGAGGCTTTGTTGCGATGGGGCGGCATAGAAATGTTTTAAATAAAATAAATAAAATAAAATATGGGTTCCATGCTCAACCACCTAATTAGATACAGTTATTCATTTGCTTATGCATGTGGCTAACTGTAACTGTGGCCAAAATGAACGTTTACCTAGTGTGCAATACTGTGCATATTTAGTCAGAAAGTCTTGTAATTCCCAGCATTGCCTAGCCAGCCACAATGACAAAAACTGATAAGCAGTTTTCACAGACTCTTAAACAACTATTACAGTGTAATTATTGTGAAATTCCTTGAGATCCAGAAGATAGTAGCATATTAATGAAACAAATAAAAATAGATTGGTTATATAGAGAAAATCATCATCTTGAGTTATTGCTGCAAATACATTTTAAAATAAAGTTCTTATTAAAAAAAAACCTGAAATATCTTGTGAGATTGCTGATTTTTTCAAAGGAACTGAACTGTTGTAAGTGGTGCAGAGAGCTTCAGTTATTGGGTACTACAGAAATGAAATAAAATAAAATAAAAATTAGAATCACCTCCTGAATGATAGTCTCCTACCACATACACCTGCCTGAGCCCTAAGATTATCTTTAGCAATTGTTCTTCTGGATACCCTGCAGAAGGAAGTGTGGTGAGAGAATATTAAGAAGAGGGCCTGTTCTATTGCGGCACCTGGGATATAGAAAGAGCTTTCTAGAGAAACTTGCCTATATGGTATTCTTTTCAGTGCCTTAGTATTTTCCCAGTCATTATAGTGTTCAATTTCTGTTGTTTTAAATTTGTTACCATACTTTAAATCTTTACACCTCTACTAGGTTTTATTTTTTCATTATTTTAATTTCATATTACAATTTAATTTTCTATATTGTATTTCATCATGATGCATTTTATGGCATTAATTGTGAGCCACAAGAAAACTTTAGCTATTGGGTGGTATAAAAATGAAACAAATAGAGTAAAATGATTTAAAAACACAAATTACAATAAATTAAAGCATATGTTTTATCTTAATATACATATATTTTGGTTGTTTGAACTAACGCACCATTGCACTCATTTCACATGGTAGCAAAGTTATGCTCAAAATCCTACAAGCTAGGCTTCAGCAGTATGTGGACCGAGAACTACCAGAAGTACAGGCAGGATTTCAAAGAGGGAGAGGAACTAGAAATCAAATTGCCAACATATGCTGGATCATGAAGAAAGCAAGGGAGTTCCAGAGAAACATCTACTTCTGCTTCATTGACTATGCTAAAGCCTTTGATAGTGTGGAGCACAACAAATTGTGGCAAGTTCTTAAAAGAGATGGGAGTACCAGGCCATCTTATTTGTCTTTTGAGAAACCTGTATGCGGGTCAAGAAGCAACAGTGGGAACTGGACAGGGAACCACTGATTGGTTCAAAATTGAGAAAGGAGTTTGGCAAGGCTGTATACTGTTGCCCTGTCTATTTAACTTACATGCAGAGCACATCATGAGAAAGGTGGGGCTAGATGAATCACCAGTTGGAATCAAAAGATTGTCCAGAGAAATATCAACAACCTTAGATAGGCAGATACCACTCTAATGGCAGAAAGTGAAGAGGAACCAAAGAGCCCCGTGATGAAGGTGAAGGAGGAGAACGCAAAAGTTGGCTTGAAACTCAACATTAAGAAAACTAAGATCATGGCTTCTGGTCCTATCACTTCCTGGCAAATAGATGGGAAAAAAATAGAGGTAGTGACAGATTTTATTTTCCTGGGCCCCAAGATCACCGCAGACAGGGACTGCAGCCAAGAAATTAAAAGACATTTACTCCTTGGGAGGAAAGATAAGGCAAATCTGGACAGCATACTAAAAAGCAGACATCACCCTGTCGACAAAAGTGCGTATCGTCAAGGTTATGGTTTTCCCAGTTGCTATGTATGGCTGTGAAGGTTGTATCATAAGGCAGGCTGAGCGCCGAAGAATTGAGGCCTTTGAATTGTGGTGCTGGAGAAGACTCCTGCAAGTCCCTTGAACTGCAAGGAGATCAAACCAGTCAGTCTTAGAGGAGATCAACCCTGACTGCTCTTTAGAAGGCCAGATATTGAAAGATGAAACTCAAATACTTTGGCCACCTAATAAGAAGGAAGGACTCACTGGAGAAGAGCCTAATGCTGGGAACAACTGACGGCAAAAGAAGGGGACGGCAGAGAATGAGATGGTTAGATGGAGTCACTGAAGCAGTCTGTGTGAGCTTAAGTGGACTCTGGGGGATGGTGGAGGACAGGAAGGCCTGGAGGAGTGTTGTACATCAGGTTGCGATGGGTTGGATGCGACTTCACGACTAGCAACAACAGTTTTGGTATCTACAGTGATATGCTGTCCAATTTTGTTATTTCATAGCTGTTTTTTTCAAATACTGGAACAATTAACGTTCACCACTGTTTCCTTCACTTAACCTAAGTTACAGCCCTTAAAAGGCTACTTGGCAGTTAGACAGGCAGCTCAGCAATCTCAGATAAGCTACCTTAGACTGACAGAATAGAAGAAAATAAAACATTGCCATTTAAAGGTTAAGTGCTGAATAGTGCTGGTAGCTGAACTTTTAGTCCCTCAGTGTACCCATCCAAGTATTCCTTCCAAGCAGATGGGATAATCTGAAATTTACCCTGAATTGGAAGAGGACCTATTTACCCCAAAATGTGAAAAAGAGATTAAGAGTAACCTAAATATTTTAGCAGGCAGACTCATGGCAATGAATGTGATGCAGCTTGCTTTTTTCTGACTGCAGTTGAAAAATGAGCAAAAAATTCAAAGTTAAAAGGATAAAACCCAATTCCTAGAACACCATCCCACCCTGACATGAAATGTTTGTCATTCATTTCTGCCTGACCATCAAAAATAATGAATTGTAGGAATTTAATCTCTCTCTCTCTAAAATTCTATGCTGGATCTTATCATGTCTAGCATACTGTTTCCACTGTGGCTAGCCAGATGCCTCATTGGGAATCCCACAAGCAAGACATGAATGTAAGGGCACCTTTCCACTTGCACTCCCAAGCAACAGATACAAACAACCCCATCAGTGATTGGGATTCTCAGCTGTCCAAAAGAACAGTACTTTCTGAAGTGTAAGATCATCAAGAAATAACCCTAATCACAATTGCACTGTGTAGAGCAGCCAAATCAAACTTCAGTTTGTGTAAAATGCAATGGCAAAACAAATAGCAGAGACCATATCATTTGAACATGAAACACCAATTCTGGCCCTTATGAACTATATACTGTGTATTGCTGTATATTTTCTAGCCCAATTCAAGGTGCTGTTTTCAATCTACAAAGGCTTACATGGAGCAGAACTGCCTCTCCTGGTAGGAACCTACCCATACACTATGAGCATCATGACAGGTACTCTTCTACGGGAGGATCAGAGGATGGCGACAAGAGAGAAGTCCTCTCAGTGGTCCTGCCCCCAGAATATGGAATGCTTTCCCAGCAAGGTCCATGTGGTATCTTTTTAGAACCAGATTAAAACTCTTCTCTATGCCAAAGCTTTGACAGCGTATTATGAGGTTTTTCATGGATCCTAGGATTTATACTGTGTAAAACTGTTCTACATGTAATTATATAACCAGTTCTACCATATGTTACCATATTGTATTTTAAGGGTTTAATTTTTGTAAATCTTGCAGAGAGCTTTGACCCTTGGCACTATAAAAATGCAATGAATGGAACAGAATGAACTAGGGGTGCACTGTCAACAGTACTTGCTAAATACCATATAAAGATGCCAAAGGCATTTTCTCCTGGTAT